AAACCAGGCCCGTTTTGAATTGAAATTGAATTCGAAATTGAATTGGTAAATTGAATTGAAGTTGAATTGGTCAGCTTTCATTTAAAGGCAAATGCAATTCAAATTTGGAGTCCATTTGGGCATCGTTTTAGCTGCTTCAACCACGCCTCGCGCGATTCAATTTTCAATTCAATTTCAATTCAACCTGGTTTGGAGCTCTTGCTCGACGGTGGGGCTTCAATTCAATTTTGGTCGGAACCCCCCCACTGGGACGCCACCCCGCCCGGCCCCACTTCTCCGTGCCACAACCCTCGAACCCTGGCATAAGACTGGGATGGAGTCGATTCAAGGGTCGTTGTCTATGGTCAGTACAGTGATTACCGGTTACCGAACAGCAACAACAGCAACAGCAGCAGCAACAACAACAGCAGCAAAAGCAATAACAGCAGCGGCAGCCACGGCAGCCGCATCACTAACAGCAACAAAAGCGACAACAACGCCGTGCCCGCTGCGACGCTAAACAGCAAGTGGTCGTTCCATTCACATGTCAACAGGGTTTGTGCTTCGACAATAGTAATAGTAACTGCAATGCACAGATCGCTCCAGAGTCATTACTCACATCATAGTCATCAGTCACTAGTCATTATGTCATTGGCCGGTGGGCACGAATGCTGCTACGCTACTAAGTAGTCTATTACCTACTACTTCACGCCGTAGTGACTTACTTCCTGATGGTGGCGATTGTTAACACCAACTATTCGTCCTTGCTATCCCGTGGGTGCGGGCGAAGCCGAAGGAACCGAATTTGAATCTAAGAGTGAATTGAGCCTCGAGTCCTCCCAAGCAGCCACCCCCAAATTGAGTTCATCGTTTGAACTGAAAGCGGATTGAGACTGAATGGGAATTGAATTGGAAATTATTTGGTAAATTAGCAACCTAGAGGATTTTCTATGTCACAATCTTAGGGTTTAGGGTTTTTGTCGTTTCTGGGGGTTCGAGATTGTGGGATTTTGTAGTGGCTGTAGGCATGCTGAGGGCTTGGGCTTAGGGTGTCGGCTGTCAGGGTGACGGGATTGAGGCCATTCCACGGCTTGAAATCGCTGAGCCATAGGAGTTACGGAGAGACGCTTAGGGTGCGGTGTTTGGGTAGATTGGCACTGGCTAGAAAGTCAAGCCTAGGGTTGTTGAGAGCCCAGCACTCCATACTTAAGGAATAGTAACCTCCAACCAGCTCCAAATCGCAGCGCCTAAGACCCTAAACAAAGAACAAGACCCACGCCATGCCCTAAAGCCTATAACGGAATCCCGCAGCTGTAAGCCCCAAGCCCTAAAGCCTAATTGGTAGGGGGGGTGTAGGGTGAAGGGTTTAGGGTTTTGTCGCTAAAGTTCTTGAATAATCTCGCCACACAACCAGGCCCCCAAACTGCAAACCTTAAGCTTCGAACTCCAGGCAAGAAAGCAAGGACCTAGGGGCAGTGAGCTGCAGCCGACTGCAAATCGGCTGTGTGCGCCGACCTGCCAAACTGTGTGTTTAGGGCGGTGAAGGGCTCCGGGCCGTCGCTTGAAGGACAATAATAGGGTTTGGGGTATTGGGGTTTGGGGCATAAGACAAGGCCCTGTACCCTAGTCCCTTAGAGCATATGCCCCAGCCGATCTAGTTTTGCTATATTGGTCCCGGACTCCCCTGGCTGAGATGAGGAATCGAAGCTGTAAAGTGTTGGAACACTGGGATAGAGCGGATTCTAAGGCCTATCCCTTATAGTACTCCGTATAGATCTCTTATAGGCTCCTTTAAAGGAGCCCTAACCCCAGTCCCCGAGCCAGCTCACGTGGCACGCCGAGGTACTCTGGAGAGGAGCTGCAGTCGCCCGACATTCGCCATCGTGGTTCATACCCTAAGGCTCCATAGTACTTCGGGGTTCATATTTAGAACTCTATAAGGTAACTCCAAAAAAGGAACTACTATGGAGCCTATGGGTACTCCGGTGCTTCTAACTCAATGCAGCGCTCATCCGCAGATCGCAGAGCGAGGCGAATGTTCACAGCAACGTAAACCCTGAACCCCAATCCCTTTGGGGTCATCGTTACGGCTCATGAGGCTTCAGGCTGTCAGGCTCAGGTGCAGAGAAGCCATAGTGAGCTTCAACCCTTGGAGTGCAGGGTTTAAGGGCTTGGGGGTTTAGGGCTTAGTGGTTTAGGGTTTAGGGGTTTGGGGTGAAGGCGTTTAGGGGTTTAGGGTTTAGGGGTTTAAGGCTTAGGGGTTTAGGGCTTAGGGCTTTAGGGCTTAGGGGTTTAGGGTTTAGCGATTTCCCTGGTGGCGAGGTTGCGGTCTCTGCCGCCTGTTGCGGCAGAGTTAGGCCTGTGCCCAATCACACCTCAACCCTAAACCCTCAGCAAGACCGGCACACCGAACAACCAACTCCCAACTCTAACTCAAGACTCAAGACCCCACTTGGAGGGTCAGGGGACTTAGTAACTGGTTATTTTAGGGACTTATAAGTACCATAACCCCAATTAGGATCCCTTTTAGGGTACTTATAAGTCTACTTACCACCTACTTACTAAGTCCCCCGACCCTCCAAGCACAAGAACCAGAGGCCGCCAATCCGGAATCCGGGCTCGAAATCCCAGACTCCAAACTGAAAACCCTGAAGCCGGGATCCCCAACAGCAAGACCCTCGCCCCCTTAAACCCTGGAAGACACACTCATACCCATACATAAACTTGAATTTGTAATTTTACGTTACCATAGTAAAACTCTATGAGGGTTCTTTTTGAAGGATCTAGAAGGGTTCCTTTCAGGGTTTAGGGATTATTTTATACTCTCCCCCCTTCAAAAAGCATTGCAAGCTTCAAGGAGACTGAACTAAAACCCTTCAGACCCCAAACATCACCCGGTTCCTAAACCGTATAAAGCCTGCCCTAAACCCCTAAGCCCTAAACCGCTAAACCCCTAACCGTCCCTAACCCTAGACTCTAGACACCTAAACCCTAAACCACCACAAAAAAGTATCACTTCTTGGCAGCCTCCGGGCCAAAGATCTCCACCAGCAGATCGGAACATCCGTTCACCACCTTCCGCTGCTGGGTTTAAGTTTTTTTCTTGATGTAAGGGCCTTACGAGGCTTGGGGTTTATAGGGTCCTGGGCTACAATCGCTCCCCGAACCCTGTGTCTACCCGTAGGCCCCATAATAGTTCCTTTTTGGGGGTTCATATGTAGAAGCCTATAGTTAATACGGTAATCCCAAAAAGGAACTACTATGGGGCCTATCGGTATGATTCACTCCCTAAAGCCTATGCCCTTCAACCTGAAATCAAAGTGCCAAGGTTGAAGGCTCGAAAACTTTGCTTCAAGGATCGTATAGCTTTACATCTCGTCCCATACCCCTGATACTTTCTGCGAACCTAGGGACCGTAAACTGGAAACTCCTCAGGACGCAATGCAACAGTTTCATTTCCCACTTCTTGAGTTCATTTATGTTAGACAGAAAAGGCAAGGTGCAGCTAGTAAAACGAGTGTGTAGCCGCGTCCTGGCCTGCGGATGGTCGGTGAACTCTGGCGTCGAGCTCACGAAGCCCTCAGCAGGAAAACTGTCAGGGTAAAGGCTGAGGCTAGTTTAGGGTGTTAAGGTTTAGAGCATGTGGTCCCGCATCTTGCAGAAGCAGCATGACATGTGTTCCAGCGTGGACGGAGTCAGCGACGCAGCGGGCAGCTGTAGTCACTGCCGAAGAGCATATACTTCGTCGCGTTATCAAGGACAGAACTTCAAGAGTGCCTGTAGCAACGCAGGAAGTTTGCATGTTGTTCACAGTGCATAGTGCCCCGATCCACCCGATCAACCCTTCCCTGCCAATTCACGTACTCAAATCCTGCAAAGAATTTAAGTCATCCCTGAACTGTAAGGCCTACATGAAGAAGCATCTTCAAAACCCTACACCCTGATCCACAACCTTCAGGCGCCTGAACCCCTGAAGATCACGAACCCATCTAAAACGTATGCCCTACCGAAACACTATTCAAATTCTTGAGGCCGCTACGTTGTCACGGAAGCATATCAACCCCTTGAAAACCCCAGATAACCCCATTCGATTTCTAAAGGCGCCTACATGACACCCTCCCAAACCCACAGCCAGGCCTTCACCTCCACCACCTTCTTGACCTGCGCTTGGGCAGCAAGAAGTCAGGGTTTCGGACGGGGCTTATAGAAGTACTCGAAATCTCAAGTACTGGTCTCGCTTACACTACGGTAGAAGCCAGAAAGTTGGAACATCGTTATCCTCATGCCCTTAAAGTAAAGTGTAAGGGATCCTAGCACTAATCCTCCTAAATCCATGTTCCAACTGTCTGGCTTCTACTGGCTAGGATACCCAGTAACCTAAGAATAAAAAGGCCTCTCTTTTTGGTATTGGGTATCTTTATAAGGAACCTAGGACTACAAAAAGGGAATGAGGGTACTACTGGGCATCGTAGACTGTAGCTCCGACAGAAATGCCTTAGCATCTTCAGGGCTCTGGGCCAATGAAATGCTTAGGCGACGCGGCTGAATACCTGAGCTGTTAACGATGACGATGGCGACGATAGCAATAACGATGAATATGTTGTTGTTGTTGTTGAGGATGATGATGATGATGTTGTTGATGATGATCATCAAGCCCCTACGGCTCACAGTGGAGCGCCCTGGCTTTTTCAGGGCGTCTCGTGTTTCTTGGTGTTGGTGTTCGGGCTTTCGGTTTTCTTCGGTGAAGCGCTCGTATGAGCATCAGCGATGGCGGCGACAGTGCGGACGGAGCCATGGGAGCTGAAACTGAAGCGGAAGAGGCGACGGAGTGAACCCCGCGTGATGTGCAGCGTGATGGGCCTCCTACGGCTAGGGATTTGCTGCCTGCTGGCCCACCTCGGCCAGTGCCGGTTAACCAGCCTAGTGCGCTTCAGTCTGGACGGCACCCTCGGACGCATGCAAGTGACCCCGACCGGGGAAGCGGCTCCTCTTCTGAACCAGAACGCAAATGGCCGGTGGAGGTTGTTTTCAACGACCGGGGCCACCGCGAGGAGCTACGTCTGCAGGGGCCGCATCTGCCCAATGGCCGCTGGACGCTCACCTCCAGCTCTGACAGCAGTGACACCGACGGAAGTGATGGAACCGACGATGAGGATGACAGCATGGCAGACCCAGGCACTGATCGAGACGATGACGGTGACGCCGATGCCGGCGATGCCGGCGAAGATGGAGACCATGCCGCGGACGACGACGGAGCCGGCTACTGGTCCGACACAAGCTTGGTCTTGGAGGGCTCTGATCTCCAGACGGCCCGCGAGCGACTGCTCAGCCTCTTCCGGTGTGAGCTCAGGGAGGTCACGCCCGACCTGGGCTCAAGGCAGGTGGGGGCCCGTGTCGGCTCCTTGCGAAAGGCACTCAACAAAGGAGGTTGGAGCGACGTGCAGCAGCAGGCGAGAGCTGTTCTCACAGAGGAGCGCCAGCACAAATGGGCGACCTTTGAGTTCCAGCTCACGCACCAATGGCACTCCGGACGTGTCCGGGCTCTGGCTGACTAGCTGTGGACGAGGCTGGTCTTGGCGCTGGCCACACGGACGGCCAAGGAGCCTCTGCTCCTCTAAGCACCTCATCCTCTCCTTCTTGCACCCCCTTAGCCCGTGCCTTAAATCCTCCCGACACCCTAAAACCAACAGGAACACGCAGCGGCTGGCTGCGACCCGGCTGGCATCGTGCAATGCCCCGGCTCCATGGAAGCCAGGCCGTGAGACACCGCCCATCTCCCCAACGATTATGGTTGAATTTCAAATTTCCCTAGTAAGCCAACCCGACTCTCACCTGTGTGCCGAGCCGGTCCCAAATCCGGCACCTGCCTCATTGCAATTGTCTTGACACAGCGGCTACTAGAGGCAGGAGGGGCGAGGGTTACGCCTGATACCGCGCCAGGCGTGGGACCCGCCTCGGCGGGGAAGACACGCGGAGAGGCACTCCCGCGAGCAGTTCAAGAGGGTCTCCCGAAACATGTTAAAAGGGCTTTTCGTCGTGCAAGGGGTAGGGCTGCTAGATCCCTCAATGGTGGCACATGGTACAGGGGTGCTTGGCATGATAGCAGTACCCTTCAGGCTCTTTGTCTCCCCAAGCCCAAACAACGACAGGCTCGATCTCAGGGCTCTCGCAGTGCACCACGTGCTCAGCGCACTGATCTTCGTGTGCTGTCGTGGAACACCAGTGGCATAGGAGGAGGGGTCTACCAAGAGTTGATGGCGTGGTTGGAGCTCTCCGATCATCAAGCTTTTCAGCTAGTTATCTTGCAAGCGACGCATTGGCAACAAATCTCGGACTATACCAGTGGAGGATGGCAATGCGTCCACTCCTCCGGGTATGTTGAGGGAGCGCAACCTGACAGGTCAAGCGGGCTGCTGATTATGCTGGCGAAGACCCACTTCTGCGACATTGCCACACTGCAAATGCTTCTTGCTCCACAGTTTGCGTACACAAAAAACAGAGGAACGGCTGATGCTCTACTTCGTGTTCATGCTCACTTTGCGGAAATTTCTCGAATGCTCAAGGAAAACGTGATCAACCGATTTCAGAAGCAACAGGGAAAGAAGCAGGGGCGTTGCATTGGGGGTTGCAGCCTATCGCTTGATCTCAGCAAGGCTTTCGACAGCGTTTTATTTACGCAGGTTTGGGGATTTACGCCCTAAACCCTGTGTGCTCAACCTGGATGCATGATGAATAGGGCGGGCTGTGCCAACAAGAGCTATTGCTTTCCCCTCCGAAACCTCGTTTAGGGTCCACCAAAACCCCAAAACCCTAAACCCTAAACCGTACAACACAAACGTCCCAGGCAGGAGCTCCCCTTCTTTCTCAGCTCTTCGCTGCATTTGGGGGGTCTCAAGAGCGCCGGACCCAGAGACTCCAATACCCCTTAATTAGGGAATATTCCTTAAATCATACTAGGGATCCTATATAATTTAAGGCATATTCTTTAATTAAGGGATATTGGAGCCTCTGGGGAACTGTTCAGGGGGCGCATGCAGCGGCCCAGCATGGGGCTGCAAGTGGATCAACGACTAGACCCAAGAGCACTGAGGACAAGACATGATGCCCATTGAGCGTGCGTCGGATGGCCTGCTGTTTGGCTTGCCCGGCCTGCTGACGTTTCTTGACATTGCGACTCACCCTATCAGCATAGGAGACCACGGTGCCAAGGTACTCATGATGTGTTTTGATCGGGATGGTGCAGTGTCTGCCAGAGACTGTCAAGTGCAGATGCAATTGTCCAGCCTGGTAGGAGGTAAACTCGCGCAAAACACCCCTGGCCTCAGGACCAACAAGCTTCAAGAGGATGGCGGTGTTACGAAAATTAATGGTCAGGTGCGTGGCCTCCAGCGTGGTCAGCAAGAGCTCAAGATCCTGGATACATTTCCGAAAGACCATGGCGCTGGTAATGACCCAGCTGCCCCACACATCGTCAGCAAAGAGTGTGAGGGTGCGAAGCACCCACTCAAGATCCCGGAGATCAATCAGCTTCCGAAGGTATGTCACGGTGAGGTAACACCACAAGAAAGGAGCTATGCGACATCCTTGCTTGATGCCATTTGTGGTTTGTGTGCCACCAACATGGCTACCGACAGCAAAGCGATATGTCGAGTCCTTGTGGAGCTGCTGAATGGCATTTATGACCGCAGGCGGAACCCCATGCTGGGCCAGTGTTTCATACACCAGTGGCCGACAAGAAGGAATTTGCCAAGCGGGGGATCGACAAGCCGGCCCACCTGACCTGGAACCAAGCGGGACCGCTGGTGGGCATGCCAGCGTACGATCCCAACGGTGCAGATGACGAGGAAGATGAGGACCCCAACGCAGGAGCCACGCCGGCGTCCATCGGCCCCCAGCATCCTGGATACACCCCTAAAGGAGTGCGGGGCCAGGCGGCGAACAACTAGGTGCAGGGCACGCTGATCACCACGATCAGCAGCATCAGCAGCGAGCTCAACCTGTTCCAGGAGCATTTGTCTCTTGAGTTGTCTGCTCTGTGATCTGAGTGCAAGGGAGGCTTGCCGGAATCGGACAGCTGCACGCCATTTGAGCCACACCACCGGCAAGGTGGCGTGAGCTGCAGCCTTCATTTGCGCATAAAGGCTCCAGGTACGCTTGGCACTGGCTTGATAGTCCGGCCTAGCACTGAGCCGCTGATCCTGGCGCGGTCGGGCAGGGAAAAATTCCCTTGCAGCCTCAAGTAGCACATGATTGACAGTTGCCTGTGCATTGGCAGGGTCTGCAGGAGTGCACCGAGCCAGGCGCTCAGCCACCGTTGCGCAAAGGGCCTGAGCAGCAGGCGTCTGCGATGCTACTTCATTTTGCAAGGTTTGGATGTCACATGCCGCGTCCGCGCTTCGGCGCTGGGGCTGCTGCTGCCGATAGGGCTGCAGACTGATCGTAGCCTGCACTGGCCAGTGGCCGGCCTGCCGCCAACCCGCAACGGGAAATGCTGTGAGGGGGGAGGAGTGCTTAGTCAACCCTCGGGAATCAGAGGCGCGAGTGACTATATAGTCTATTTGTGTGGTCGTGCCGGAGCAATGGCAAGTCTGCCAGGGCTTGGCATGCCACGTGTTGGCTGCCACCAAGTGATGCTCAACGAGCAGTTGCTGCAAGGCGGCACAATGGTTTGGGTGCTCCTTGCTCGGTGCTGCCGGTCCAACGTGGGGTGGTTCGGGCCTAAGACATGGTGTCGGGTGGGGGTTTTGGCCAGGATCTTTCCAAGAGAGACAAGAATTTCACCTCGAAGCTTATTGTTTTCCATGGTAGAAAGTTGAGTGCACCATACATGCTGGTACAGGGCCAAGATTGTGATCGGTAACCCCGTAGGCTTGTAGACCGCCTGAACGTGCAACAGCCTACCAGCATGAAGCTCCTGAGCGACACATATCAGCCACGTTCCGAACACTGCGGTCTGGAGGCAAGCTCAGCTCGACCGCCCTGTGGCTGCGATTACCCAGCAGCTACGCACCATGCAGGCCAAACTGCAGCACAAGCAGCTTCACTGCCCAGACGTCACCACAGCCCCCGGGACATTGGAGTTCCTCCACGAGCTGCTCGTGTCCTTGAGGCGCTCCTTCAGCGTGAGGCCCATGCGCCACCGGCTAGTGCTGGAAGACCACATGCCTGCCTCAGTGCCCTGTCCTACCTGTAGTCGCATGTTCCCCACCCTAAATGCAATGCGTGTTCACAGCAAGCTTCAGCATGGCATTCTTCCTGAGCACACTAGACAGCCTACTGCCTTTGATGCAACACGGCACTCAGTCAACGGCATGCCGGAATGCCGGCTGTGCCGCAGACGTTTCTTCCGTTGGCAGCAGCTTCAGAAGCACATAGAACAAGGTTCCTGTGCTGCTCTGGGGGGCGAGAGTTTAACTCGACACCCGTTGGACGAGACAGAGCAGATGCGAATGCAGCAAACAGCCTCTGCCACTCCTCCTGTCGATGTTGCAAACACCTCCACTGTTGAAACTATGCCGGAGGAATCGCTGCCTCTTGTGCGGCGACCGTCTTTCTTGAATGCCCAGCATAGGTGGGAACAGTGGGCGCTCGATCCTGCGGCTCGAGCACAACTGATGTCGTACTGTGTTCTGTGCAACATGTGGCTAGCGAGTAGCAAGCACGTCAAACAGCACTTCAATCGCATCCATGCCTCGGACTTAGGGGACCTACCGCTGCGCGCCAATCGCCTTTGCCTGACCTTTAAATCCAAGCTTACCCGCGGCCGCAATTGTTTGTTCTGCCACTCCAAAGTTGGGGCACCGACGAGGCACTCCCAGCAATGCACAGTTCTGTTCCAACTCACTGTCGCTCACCTCGTGGCGCAGGACACTTCTCAGCTGCATCATGACGGCCGGTCCTGGAGCCGACTCCCGAGGAGCAGGAGGCCGAGATCTTCAAGCATTTCTTCCCCAGCGGGGCCCCACCCCCGGTGACAGCGCCTCCACCAGCGGCCGCGACGACGTCGGGGCAGCCAAGTCAGCCACAGCAGGGAAGCCGCGGCTAGCGGCAGCGGCCGGCATACCAGCGGCCACCCCTGCGGCAGGGGCGGCAGGCTGCTTATCTACCGCAACCTCCGTTCCAGCTGTCGGGGCACGTGCGACTGATCAGCAAGGTGGTCCTCCAACAAGCCGATGCGCTACAGCTGTTGCAGCAGGATCGGGGGCTGATGATGTTCCTCAAGCAGGACTCCCGGAGCGTGTTGCCATCCATGCTGGCTATGGCCAGGGAGTGGCGGCAGAAAAAGGAGCAGGGGGACCCTGCCTTGGTCTCTCCTCTAAGGACGGTGCTGCTAGCAGGACTGCTGAAGGAACTCCTTCAACGATTGCAAGCTATTTCCGCCACCGCGGAAGGCCGCAAGTCGGCCCAAGCGGCGGGATGGATGACGGAGGGGGGCGACTGGAGCTACATGCGCTGGTGCCCCAAGGCCAAGCGGCTCCTGACCGACTCCAGCAAGCCGGCTCTGCAGCACACGGAGGCTGTGAGACTGCTCAACATGCTGTACAGCAACACGAAGGGGGACATCGTGCTGAACTTCCACAGCACCACGGGCATGCAGCGCCTGGAAGATCAGGGAGCCACGACGGCGGCTTTCAAACTGGAAATCAGTCTTCGGGGTCAAGACGCGACGGAGGTACACCAGGCCCTGGTGAAGTTCATCAACAATTCCTCCACGGGACTCGTGGGAATGTCGCTTCGCCGCGAGAAGCGCGACCGCGGGCCACTGCAACAGCAGCTGGCTCAGCTCACATACGGCAGCAGCTGATGGGGATACCAGCACCGTCCGCTACAAATGGGGAACCCCTGAGTTCCTCCGGCGAGGATGGGCCACAACCTCAGCTGATGAGGCTCATGCAGCCTCACCCTGCTCCGCTTTTCCGATTGGCTAATCCTGGCAACCAATGCTACATGAATGCTGTTGTTTACAGCCTCTGGCTCATTGCACGCCGCACGGGCGTTGCTTTACAACTGTCTCAGGTGCTTGGGGCCAATGCCGCTGGGCACTACAGTGTGCGCCAGCTCTTTTCGTTCCATCTGCTGGGATGGCTGCAGCCTGAACGCCAGCATGATGTCACGGAGTTTATTTCTCATCTGCTTCCCAAACTTGTTGCTCGCGATGCCGCAGGCGGGGTTGAGCTACGACAGCAGCAGCCTGAAGGCCTGTACCGTCGCTTTGAGTCATCACTCACACACTGTGTGATTCTGCCCGCCATGCACAAACACAATCGCAGCTTGCAGGCCCTACTCAACTTCTGGCACACACAGGATGTCATGCATGCACTGGTCCAGCCGCACCCCTGGGTTCTACTGCAACTCCCCCGGTTTAGGTGGATCCGAGGCTCTACTCAGAAGTGCCGGCGGACGTACGGGTTAGCACATCGGCTCCAGGTGCCGGTGTATCAAAACCAGGTGGACCTTGCCGTCCAGTGGGTGCCTTATGATATAGCGTGCATCATACAGCATCACGGTCCTCGGTCGGACCAAGGTCATTACACAGTGATTCAGCTTAGTTCCTCCGCTGCGGGGGACGCAGTGGAACCATGGCTACTTGATGACGCAAAAGATCCGACAAGCCTTGACGACGCCATGTGTGCACATGTCAGTCGCAACATGTATGTGGTTGTTTTGACCAACGCTTCCACAGCCCTCTCACGCTCAATCGACGTAGCTGACTCTTCGATCTCTGACCTAGCTCACGATGCCTCAGCCGATCTACATACCAGTGAACGATCTGCCGAGACAGGAGATGGACTGGCATGCAGCGCAGCTCTTCTTACTGGAGTACCAGTTACGGCAGATAGCAGCGGACATGGCCCGTCTCAACCAGATTTACACAGACCTCAAGCATCGGGTGAAAATGGTTGAGTACAAACTCGATCGTTTGTTGCACCCCCGTGGGCACAACAAGTTATCAGAGAGTCTGCAAGTTGTATTTTTCGATGAGCTGGATGAGTGACAAAGTCACTCTCCTACGGCGCTTAGGCGCAGAATTGCTCCATACGAGCATTAGTGCTGCCTCCTGGAGAGGCCGTCCATGCACAAGCATGTGATGTCATAGTGCCCGCTAGACCAGACTCCCTGGCTGCGTGAGAAGAAGAAGATGATGATCATCATCATGGTGATGATGACGATGATGATGAACATGATGATGACCTTCCTTCCCACTCAGAACTGCCGCAATCTTCAGCCTCAGCTTCTTTGGAGCACAGAGGCGAATCAACTGCGAGGCTCCTCTGCTTAATTCGACAGGGACCGGCGCCTAGCATCAGCCCAAAGTGAGAGAGAACTAGGAAGAATGTCAAAATTCGGGGCTTCCCGGTTACAGATCCTGCACAGAAGGATTAGGAAGGACAAAATGGCCAGGACTTCCTGCGCCGAGGCTGTGAAGGGCCTGGGACTGGTTGAGGTTCTGGGGTCTCGCGTTTCAGCGATCTTGTACTATACCCCCCTTAGAACCGTAATAAAACTACTATGTTTCATATTCTCTTGGGTTTTGTATAATCCAAAATCAACAAAAGGTCCTAAGGAGACTATAGTGTCAGCTGTAGAGCTTTGGCGCGAAACGCGCATGGATTGAATCCGCAGGGCTCCGGGCCCCAAAATGAAAACAACCTTGCTGATTATCCCTGAAAGAACATACTGTAATGAGCACTAGGACTGATTCCCAGGGCAAACCCAAAGTTAGTTATGGTCTCCATTTTTGTAGTTCTGTTTTTTGCGTTAGCCACCGCCTGAAGCTGCGCATCTAGAAGGCTCCCAGGCGCCTACCCGCACTCCTAGCCACGATCGCGCTGTGAATTTGTGTGGGTTTGTCTGTCCATCAGTTGCCTGGGCGGAAAAACGATGTATCTACATCTGCTTGATGAAGCCAGTTCTCCTGGCAGCATACCAAACGCTAGGGTTGGTATCGACTTTCTTGGATTCTATTTTCTGTCTTCGTCACAGCACAAGCCACAGACACTCTCGACCACAAATGCAATCCCCAAACGCACAACCTGTAGTCCCAAATCCGAAACCCTCACCCTACCTGCAGCTCGCAAAACCGGCGTGCTTCAACACATGTACCAGGAAAGCAACAATTAACAGTCCTCGGAAAGTATTCTTGTAAGTCAGGAAGGCAATGCTGAAATTGAATAGTTGGCCCAGCAATTTGCGGGAACCTTGTCCAAATCACCGCTGCAGGCGGCCTTCATTTGACCTGTCCGTTGGCGGCTGGGAGATCTTGCCGTTTCTTTGCAGTCTCGTCAGGAAGTATGGAGTCCTTGTTTTGGCCGCTGTTTATAGGGTCTGCGTCATGATCCCTCATGTTCTGAAGCTGATAGTTTTGGGCTCTGCTGAGGTCCACCTCACTGATGTGGCTTTAGCTGTTATCTTGCCTCGGGCTCGTTTAGGGTGGGGAAGTCCACGGCGCTGCGCCTTGCAATACCAGCCACGACACGAGTGGGACTGTAGGGCACCCCCAAAGCCAATGCTAGTTTTTCTTGCCCACCAACCATGACGATCGTACAGACTTTTTGGGCGCCGGCAGAAGCCCAGGTAGTCGTTGCTAAAGGTGTCCAGCACCGAGACCCCGCCCACCACGACACTGAGCTTGCAAATCCCAATGCTGTGAGACTTCGCCGGATATGAGGTAAGGATCTACAAAACGAACTCGTAATCCGACAAAAGCAGTTCAAACATTGCACAACCTCAGCCTCTCATGTCCTGAAACCCCTGGTGGGGCTCTACGCCCTTTAAACGCTCGCACCTGAAGTCCGAAAGTTAAACCTTTCTCTTAGAACACCACGCGCCGGTGAACCACTATAGAATTCTATACAGGTCACATATAATCCGCGATACGCATCGTCACGCCCCAAAAGCCTTGTAACATGCCCTTTGGTTACAAGTATAAAGTCCTACAGGCCGTACAAAGCCCTACTTCCTACAGCCTAAGCCCTAACAGAGTGGCCTTAATAGGGTTTTGGGGCCAATAATACTATACTTATATTAAGGAAGCCCCCCAAATCGTGTAAGCCCTTATAGTAGCCCTTTTTAAGAACCCTCTAAAGGAACCCCGTTCTAATTATTTCGGCCCCTATAGTAAACCCGGCCCTACCTTAACCCTGAATAACCTACCTTTTTAGGGTTCCTTACTATGAGTTCCTTATATAAAGTCCTTAAAAAGGTAGGTCCTTCAGGGTTAAGGTAAAGACCCCCCCCAAAGGCGGTCGGGCCTACGAGATGAAGGGCGCAAAGGCGGGCTGCGGCCTGAACAGCCCGGAGGAGGCTCAGCATGGGTAGTTGTCAAAAGTAAGGTCCCTTTTTGGGTACCCTAAATATTAGAAGCTGCCCCCACCCCGTAATAGTGGTATAGTAGGAATATGATAGGGCCCTAATATGATCCTTATAGTCACTATTACTGGGTGGGGGCAGCTTCTAACCTAAATATTAGGTGCCGTATTATAACAGGGACCCCAAAAGGGACCATAATCTCGACAACCACCCACATGAAACCCAAAAGCCGCAAAGGGGTTTAGGGCTCCCAGAGACAGAGACTCCAATATCCCTTAGTAAATTCCTTAAACCATAATACGGGTCCTACTATAATTCAGGTATATTTTTTCATGGGACATTGGAGTCTCTGCGTTCTGGGTTCAGGGTTCTGAGGCCATACGCTCTAACTTGAGAGCCAAGCGCCCAAACATCCGAAAGGTACAAGGCTTCGGGAGAGTCCCTCGCGGATTCAGAGCGAGCGCTGAGCCTCCACACAACCAGTAGCCATGACAACAGTAATGGGGTTTGGGGTTTGGGGTTTTGAATAAGGCAGAGGAACAAATCAAAGAGACAAACCCGCAAACACGATGACAAGACAGCACTAGCGATGGGACGACCAATTATTGCTCCACTACAGCGCTAGGAGGATCCACAGCCTTCAGCCCATGTAGAAACGAGCCGGTGCGTTTTAACACAGAACTCCCAGAGGCAGTCGATGATTGAAACACTTTGCACTGACGTGCAGGCTACTCGCCAGGGTCAGAACTGTCTGCGCGAGATCGCAAACAGAGAAGTGTCTGCCAAGAATTGTTTACAGTCACTTTGGCACTTCGTGCAGCCGCCTGAATCTTCAACCCCAAGCTCGAAAGCCGCGCAAGCAATCTGAGACGGTAGAGCACACCTTGGAGAACAATGTGGCAAAACCTGCGAACCAGAAGACATGAGGCTACGGTTTCTACAGTTACTGGTGGTGGGGCTTCGGGGTTTACGGGACGGGCGTACCAACGGCGGGTGCATGGTTGCAGGTGTTTGGAAACAGACGCACTGGTTTGGAGAGGCCTTCATTCCACATCGGGTCATTTGAGCATTGAAAACGCTATCTATAGCTACTTCAGATAGGACGATGACGAAAAGTTCTCCTGTGCCTACTCAACCTCCAGCTCCTGCTCCTGCTCCGACTGCTGCTGCTCCTCCGACTGCTGCTGTTGCTCCGACTTCTGCTGCTGCTGCTACTACTACTACTGCTGCTGCTGCTACTACTACTACTACTACTACTACTACTACTACTAGTACTACTACTGCTAGTTACAGGTACTGTTACTACCACTACTAATTGCGGCTCCGAACCAATCCAAAAGACCTTCTTAATAACCACAGGCACGGCCTACCAGAGCGGCTTCACGGTACCAGCAAGTGCACATTGCTATAGCTGAACTGAAACTCAGCATAGATCCCCAAACAGTGAAAGCGGGAAGGTGTTAAGCGGGCGCTTCGCTGCTGTCCGCATCAATTCTCTCTACTCCCACCGTTTCAACCCGAAATGGCCACGGTGGGTACCACACTGCTTGGGGAAAACTCTCAAGGAACAGGAACTGTCGCTTGAGCTGCGCCGTACGACCCATTCATGTGGAAGCTTTCGGTGTATAAAAGCTTTCCGACTCTGTCAGGGCCGAGAACACAGATCAGCCAACCTCGAAAGCAGGCTTACCAATCCTACCCCAAGCCTTGACATCAGTCCCAAAGCTAAAAACTCAAATGTCTCGCTTGTCAAGGCTCATTCTAACAAGCAAAATCATCGTCACTCTGACCTGGCAACTACTCTTCACTCTGACCTGGCAACTACTCTTCACGAGGCACTGAAGGATGCGTTGTAAATAGTACGAGTCTTCGCATACTTGTTTCATCAAGCACCATAAGTGGTGTGAGTGCATGGACGCCTGTATCTTATTCCAGCGCATCAAGCCTCCTAGGACAGCCTGCATACGAAGCCCTACCTAAACCACAGAGAACCTAAATTTTCAAGGACCTATACAAGGAATTCATGATGAGGAACCCTATACACGCAGGTTTTTTGGGTCCAGGTAGTTCCGGCCAAGTTCGTGTTTGCCCTGAATCTTCGAGGGTCGTGGCTACAGCTTCGAGTCTGCCTCGAAATGTTCTGAAGAGGCCTGGCTGACTAGAACAGTATAGGGTTTAGGGCTGAGGGTTTAGGGTTTAGATTCCCTAAAACAGTTGTAGTACTAAGGCCCCTCCAGGCCCCTTCATTGCGGTTCCGTCGCCGCCGGAATCATCAGGCATATGCTGAAGCTGGCGCCCGGTACCGGACACCAATCTGGCCGGGAAGCCAAGTTGAGCAACACCATGGCTAATGCCTACACCCCTAGACCCTCAAAGGCCCTAAATGGTTCAGGGTTGAGGTTTTCGTAAGCACTGCTGGACCTGCCTTCAGGCCCTTCATACCGCTTACCACGAAGCTGTAGGCTGAAGTCCCAAGAAGGGGAGCTCAAGGGACCGTCGGCTGGCTTCCCGGCCTAAAGCCTACATGAGGCTTTTGAAGCTTTACCCTGAAGACGATAGTCTCACCGTATGCTAAAACCACCTTTTTTGGACGATCACAGGGTAAACTGCTCCATCAGAGCCAAAAGGGGGCTCCAGTACCTACACCTTTCACATCCCCTGGGCGCAGAGAAGCCATCCTGATAC